CCGGGTCCAGGACTTGAACTGCGGTCGACTATGTGGGAGTCCAGCGACATAGCCATTACGCTAACTGCTGGTTCCCTCCTCTCAGGATCTTGGGCACATACACACACATGCGCCCAGTGTGAGTTTAAGCCACCGGGTCCAGGATTCAAATCATGGTCAACTACATGGGAGTCCAGCAACATAGCCATTACACCAACTGCTGGTCCTCTCCTGGCTTTAAGTTCTAAGCAAAGGTCCTTAGCATTTCTTTATTAAAGCTAAAACTGCTTTTCTTGAAATTAAAAAATATATTTTAAAAATACCTATTTAATGACCACACTTATATTGCCTTCAGTAGGTGCTACTTTATAGTATATTCACTCTACCCACAGAGTTTCATGCCTAAAGTCAACATGAGTTCACAGATATGTATATATCAGTTGAACTTACTATTGAAAGTATTTAGACTAATTAAAATATTTTGGGAATTAATGAAATGTGGAAAAGAATAAAGCTGATTGGAAGAGGATGGGAAAGTTCATAAATAGTAGTTAGACTATTTAAGAAATTTTGTGAATCAATAAAATGTGAGGAATACAAGGAATAGAAAACAACTGTAGACACCTGAGATAATGTGAGAGGAGGGTGGGAAATGGCAGAGGGTGAGAAATAGGAGGGAAATATATATATATATATGAAACTAGAAATGGAAAATTATTGACAATACCATGTATGATTAAGCCACTATGCAGAATATTCTGGATGGGAAATCTCATTTTGTACGCTGTGATGATGCTTAGTGAATGAATGTAAATTAATTAACTTAAAAAATTTTTTAAAATCACGTCAGGATGCTTAAAAAATTTTTTTAAATCACATCAGGATGCACATAATCAAATTGCTTAGAATAAGTGATAAAATAATATAGAGAAAATCTGAAAGGCAGCTGAGAAGACAGACTAAATACAGAGGAATAATAAAGATGATAGGACATTTCTCGTAGTTAGCACATTTCTGACAGGAGACAATGGAGCAAACATTTTTAAAGTTTGAAAAAAATATTAAATCTACAGTAATTCATTACCAGCAGATATGCAGTGTAATAAATGTTGAAGGAAGTCCTTCAAGAAGAATAAAAATACCATATGAAATCTGTATCTACACAAAGGAATGCAAACTGTCAGAAATCACAATAACCTCGTGGGTAAATGACTTGTCCTTAGTATTTAAGTGTCTTTAAAAAAGTTCATCGGGAACCAGCAGTTAGCGTAATGGCTATGTCACTGGACTCCCACGTAGTCGACTGCGGTTCGTGTCCCGAACCCGGTGGCTTAAAACTCATGCCGGGCGCGTGTGCGTGCGTGCGTGCCCAAGATCCCGAGAGGAGAATGGAGGAGAAGGGATTGCGGCGTGACCATCCCTCCTGGGGGGTGATTTCTCGCTTTCTGTCTCTATGTCTCTCTCTGTCTGTCTGGCGAGCGCACGCGCCCTACAGTGAAAATCTCTCCCAAAAAAAAAAAAAAAAGTTCATCAACTGTTTAAAACAAAAAAGCCACAATGTATTGTTGAGTTCATAACATGTAAAAGTTAAATTAATGACAATAGCACAGTGGCTGAGAAGGGAGAAAAAGAAGCATGCTGTTATAAAGTTCTTACACTATATGTAGGTGGACAGATAAGTAAAACAGATGTACTCTAAATCCTAAAACAACCACTGAAATAAAACAGCAGAGTTGTAGCTAATAAAACAAAAAAGAGAGATGAAATAATTAAAAAAATACAATCCAAGAGAGAGGAAAAAGAGAATTGAAAAGGAATAAAGGGAACCAGCAGATGGTGTAATAGTTACATCGCTGGACTCCAATGTAGTTGACTGCAGTTCAAGTCCTGGTCCTGGTATCTTAAACTCATATCAGGTGTGTGTGTTTGTGCAGGCCCATGCTCCTGAGAGGAGACTGGGAAAAGGGATCGTGGTGTGGCCATCCCCCTGAGGGGGGAGGGATTTCTCATTTTCTGTCTCTCTGGTGAGCACACCCATCATGTCGCCTGGGAGAGCACCCCCCCCCTAAAACAAAAAAAAAAAAAAAAAAAAAAAAAAGGAACAAAGAACAGATGAGATAAATAGAAAACAAATAGCATGATGATAGATTTAAACTGTTATATCAAGAATCACATTAAATGTAAATAACCAAAAGCACCCAATTAAAAGAGAGATTGACAGCTTAGATAAAAAGACAAGAGTTAAGCATTCCTTATAAGAAATACACTTTAAATATAAAGACACAAAAGTAAAAGAATGGAAAAGGATGTGCCACGCTAGCACTAACATAAGGAGTAGAACTGCTGGTCATATGTTAATTTTATGTTCAACATTTTGAGATACTGCCAAACTGATTTCCAAAGTAAGCTGGATTGGTTTATTATTTTAACATGTTTAAGTAATTGTAATTTTAAATAATAGTTGAAAATGATTAATTTCACAGCTTTCTCAATATAAAGTGGCCACTCCCTGTCAAAATGACAGATATTAGGTTCCTCTCATGTGTGCTGAGGGTAGGTCCCTCATCATTTTTAATTTCTTTGTATATTTTATATGTACGCATTGTATTTAGATATCAGTACATACACATAACTTGTTCAAATTATGGCATTAAAAGCTCAAATTCAATGGCATTTAGAAAAGTATTATTACTGTTTTTAAATCACAACATCTCTATCAGGAGGGTTCATTAACCAGTAACTAACATTTGAAGCTTGCATGGCAAATCTTTAAAGCTTTTACAAGTTGCTGAATTGAGGTGACAAGGACTCCATGAGTTTCCTGAACCCTTCAGTCTTTTTTCTTTGATTCCATAAGATTCCTCTTCCTTGCAGGCCAATGCAGCAAGTCCTTAGAGAAAACTGTAATATAAATGAATATACTCAAGTAGAGAAAAGGTTTAGAGGACCCTTTTTCATCCATTTACACACAATTTCTGCTCATTGTTTGACACTCTGCTTAGGCATCCCTGCTCCCATCTTCTCAGTCACACTGTCCACCTCCCAGTTCAGATCCTGTGTCACATTTTTGCTTAAATTCTTCAATGATGTCCCATTCCTGTGGCTGTTTCTCCTGTTGTTGCCCAGAATACCTGTTTATATCTTTCTCAACACTTAGAATATGGCATTGACCTTGTTTCCTTTGTATCCATGTCACCAATAGTAATCCCACTGAGATGACTCAATTTTATTCATCTCTATGTTGCTGACCCCAAACAAAGTGCTTAATGGAAAGAGTGTACAATATAAAGAAATTAACCAGTGAGTGGCTATTCAAATAAAGACAATTTGCTTCAAGGAGACCAGATGTTTAGCAATCCCTCACAGCCAAATTGGGAAATGGTGGTTCACTGTATACAAAGACTAACAGTGGATGAAGTATACACTATATGCCTGTCACTCTGAGGAAGGTTACATATGTTAATTCATTTAAACCTAACAACTACCCTACAGAAATGTACATTAGTTACAGATATGTGCAGATAAGGAAACCAAATCCTGAGAGATTCATAACTTGCCTTGGATTACATAAAAAGTAGAAAAGCCAGGAGTTTATTGAGTTGAACCTAAATTCTGTGAAGGCAGAGGCCATGTAGGTCTTTCACCACTGCACACTCTAGTCTTAATATGCATGTAATGCAAGGGTTCAACAACTGCTGTTCAAATGAATTCAACCAGTTATACTTCACATCAGCTTAGGGGGAAAAAAGTGACTCTTTAGTCCCCAGAAGTGGCTGGCTCATCTTCCCCATAGTTTTGCCTCCACATTCCTCCCCATATTGGCTTAAGGCCCACGTTGGGATATTCAGCATTTTAGTTTGATGAAAGTGAGCTGTAAGCACATAAGTGAGAAGAAACCCAGTATGTAAAAAGAGATGATAAGGTAAACACAGGAAAGCCATTCTGTGAGATGGGAATGAAAACAAGCAGTGTGCCTTATAAGTTGATAGCTAACATTTCCTTGGGGGGGGGGGGCTTCTGTGTACCGGCCACTGTGGTTT